AACAAAGCAAGGAGATACAATCTTCAAGGAGTTAGCGGGGAGTGCCTGTTGAGCGGTCAGGAGATGGCTGAAAGGCTAATATACTAGACGCTAACAGTATGAGGCTAAATCTAAGAGCTTAAATAATGGGCCAGGAAAAAATGGTTTGGGACAGGCAATTCGTGGGGCATCAGCCCCTACTCCAGACACTGTTGTACCACTGCTTTGGCAAGAAAAACAACCACAGTTTAAGTGTTTATGAGGGCTGTAAGAATTAAAGAAAGAGAAAAGAAACACGAAAAGCGGCTCAACAGTCAAAGACAGGCTCGTTTTGGAGAATAAACCTGAGAGGGGCTTCTGGCCGATTGCCGTCAGGAGCACAGTCTCTTACAGACTAAGAGTATTGACTTTAGGGTGAGAGAGCTTATCACAGGCTTAGAATGTTTCTGTGTTGGGGAGAAGTCTGTTGTGGGGTTGGAACATCTCTGGTTGGAGGGGAGGTTATCTTGGGACTGACATCTCTCCAGCGGAGGGGAGGTTATCTCAGGGCTGGCATGTCTCTCTGGTCAGGGAGGGGTTTATCTTATGGTTGGAATGTTTCTGGTTGGAGATGTCATTTATGGTTTATGGTCATGCCGACCTTAGCCATTAGGCTGATGCCCTTTGGATTTAGGCAGGTTTTGATCAAGGTGAACTTTAAAATGGCAGTGATTGTCCAAGATGGCAATGCTCCTGCCCTGTCAAGAGCCAATATGGAGGGCCAATTGCCCTCCTGGAAAACCTATTTTCCCACTTTAAAGTTTTCGTATTAATATTCTTTAGACGTGGAAACGCCACATTCCAGAGAAATTAAACTGCTTAGTATTGTGAAAGGAAAATATCTTGGGCCCCCAAAATCACTAAGGAAACTTCAAGCTGGAAATAGCTTAGGGCAAACCTGCCTCCCATTCTATTCAGTCACTCTTCTCTCTTCTATCTGTCCTTGCTACTAGGTCCCTTCCATGACATGTGGGAATTATAGGAGCTATAATTCAAGATGAGATTTGGGTGGAGACACAGCCAAACCATATCAATGTGTGTAGATTTCTTATTTTCCATTATTACTTAAAAGAAAGCTTGTTTCTAACTCTTCTATGGTCATGTAACAACATATCCTAGAAATCACTTCATGTACAGTACATTCTTTTTAGCACTGCGTAAACTAGAAAATCCAGAAATAAATTTCTACACCTACAGTGAACTCATTTTCAACAAAGGTGCGAAGTATATATATTGGGAAAAGGACAGTCTCTTCAATAAATGGTGCCAGAAAAACATGATATCCACATATAGAAGAATGAAACTTCACCCCATTGTTCACCATATACACAAAAAAAATCAAAATGGATTAAAGACTTAAATCTAAGACTTCGAACTATGAAACTACTACAAGAAAACATTGGGGAAATGCTCCAGGACATTAGTCTGGGCAAAGATTTCTTGAGTAATACCCCAAAAGCATAGATAACCAAAGCAAAAATGGACAAATGGGATCACGTCAAGTTAAAAAGCTTCTGCATAGCAAAGGAAACAATCAACAAAGTGAAGAGACAACCCACACAATAGGAGAAAGTATTTGCAAACTATACATCTGACAAGGGATTAATAACCAGAATGTAAGGAGCTCATACAACCCAATAGGAAAAAATTTAATAATTCAATTTAAAAATGAGCAAAAGATCTGAATAGACATTTCTCGAAAGAGGGCATACAAATGGCAAATGGGTATATGAAAAGGTGCTCTACATCATAGATCATCAGATAAATGCAAATCAAAACTACCGTGAGATATCATCTCACCCCAGTTAAAATGGCTTTTATTCAAAAGACAGACAATATCAAATGTTGGTGAGGATGTGAAAGGAGTGAGGGAGGGAATTCTTGCACATTGCTGGTGGGAATGTAAATTAGTACAACCACTGCGGAGAACAGTATGGAGGTTCCTCAAAAAATTAAAACTGAAACTACCATACAGTCCAGCAATCCCACTGGGTATGTACGCAAAAGGAAGGAAATCAGCATATCAAAATGATATCTGCACCCTCCCCTGCAATGTTTATTACAGCACTATTCACAATAACCAAAATTTGGAAGCAACCTAACTGTCCTTCAACAGATGAATGGATACAGGAAATGGACATATACACAATGGAGCCACAATTGAGCCACAAAAATGATGAGATTTTGTTATTTGCAACAATATGGATGGAACTGGAGGACATTATGTTCAGTGAAATAAGCCAGGCACAGAAAGGCAAACTTCACATGTTCTCACTTATTTGTAGGAGCTAAAAACTAAAACAATTGAATGCATGGAGACAGAGAGCAGAATGTTAGTTACCAGAGGGAGGGGAAGGTAAGGTTAGTGGTGAGGAAAGTGGGGATGGTTAGTGGGTACAAAAGTATACTTAGATAGAATGAATAAGATCTAGTATTTGATAGCACAACAGAGTTACTACAGTCAACAATAATTTATTGTACATTTAAAATAACTAAATGAGTATGGATTGTTTCTAACACACAAAAATGATAAATGCTTGTAACAGATACCCCATTTACCCTGATGTGATTATTATGCATTGTATGCCTGTATCACATACTCTATATGTGGACCCATAAAAATTAGAAATTTTTTTAGGCTGGGTGCAGTGGCTCATGACTGTAATCCCAGCACTTTGGGAGGTTGAGGTGGGCAGATCACTTGAGTGCAGGAGTTTGAGACCAGCCTGGGCAACATGGAGGAACCTCATCTCTACAAAAAAATACAAAAATTAACCAGAGGCAATGGCACGTGCCTGTAGTATCAGCTACTCAAGAGGCTGAGGTGGAAGGATGGTTTGAGCCCAGGAGGCCACCACATCCAGCTAGTTGTATTTTTAGTAAAGACAGGGTTTTACCATGTTGGCCAGGCTGGTCTTGAACTCCTGGCCTCAAGTAAACTGCCCACCTCAGCCTCCCAAAGTGCTGGGATTATAGGCATGAGATACTGCGCCGAGCCTTTTGCCCATTTTTTTAACTGGGTGGTTTCTGTTATTGAGTTGTAAGAATTCTTTATATAATTTGGATAGAACTCATGCTGTATGGTATTTTCATGTTCTTGACAATGTTCATGTATGCATAGCATTTTTTAAAACTTAGGTCCCATTTTTGTATTTTTATTTGCTTTTGCTCATGTTGTTTCATTGAAGAATCCATTCCAAATAAAAAGGAAGATTTACTTCTATGTTTTCTTCTACGTTTACAGTTTAGCTATTACATTAGGTCATTGATGAATTTTGAGTTAACTTTTAAGTGTAGTGTGAGATACAATCTAACTTCATTATGTTGTGTGTCTGTGTATAGGTGTCCCAGCAGTATTGGTTGAAGACTATTCTGTCTCCATAAAGTAATCTTGGATCCTTCTTGAAAATCAAGGGGCCTTAGATGTATGGGTTTCTTTATGGATTCTCAATTCTATTCCATTTATCTATATGATTGCCTCCTGGGTTCAAGTGATCCTCCCACCTCAGCCTCTCCAGTAGTCTCCAGCTGGGACTACAGACATACACCACCACAACTGGCTAATTATTGTATTTCTTGTAGAGGTGGGGTTTCTGATGTTCACTGAGAAATCTAAAACTAATGCATACAATTATAAAATATAAAAATTCCAGCAAATATTCATTGCTGAAGAAAATAAGAATATAATTGTAACACATTATGTATGTACACTCAAAAAAAATTCCAGAAAAACAGATATGCTTGTTCAGAAATACACAAAGGTATTTATTTAATTTTTTTTTTTTTTTTTTTTTTTTTTTGAGACAGGGTCTCACTCTGTTGCCCTGGCTGGAGTGCAGTAGCACTATCATAGGTCACTACAACCTCAGTCTTCCAGACTCAAGCGATGTAAGGATGCAGCAAAAATACAAAGACATGTGGCTGACATTCTAGGGGTCATCAATTTCGACATATTCATTAGTGTTTTGAAAGTGTGTGAATAAACTCTTATACTAAGGCCTGTCTCCTGAATAATAACTAATTGTCAAACTTCTGTTTGAAACCCTGCAGCACGACTTACAAGCATTCTCTGCTATGACAGTCCCATGACCACTGGGGTATGCTGAGCTATGGCTGAAACACTAACTTTAAACAAATATTTTACTTCCCATAAGACCAGATGAAAACTATCAGCAGCATTGATTCTGTGATAAATGACAAGATATGAACTCACACTTACCACATGCCTCTTATTTTTAATGTTTCTCTCCTTTGTGAACTCTCACATGAGACTGTAGTGAGACTGAGTAGAGGCTTTATCACACACATCACACTACTAAGGTTTCTTTCCAGTGTGGACACTGATGAAGTTGAAGAGTTAAAGTCTGAATGAAGCACATACCATTCTGCCACACTTCCATGGTTTCTCTCCTATGTGAAGCCTCTGAGGCCTAATATTTCCGGTGATGTAGCAATCACACTACTGGGTATATCCAAAGGAAAGGAAATCAGTATGCCGAGGAGATATCTGCACTCCCATGTTCACTGCAGCACTACTCACAATAGCCAAGATACGGAACCCACCTAAGTGTCCATCAATAGATGAAGAAAAGGTGGCATACATATATATATATATATATATATATATATATACACACACACACACACACACACACACACAATGAAATACTCTTTAGATATAACAAAGAAAATTGTGTCACTTGTGGCAACATGGATGAGCTTTGGAGGACATTATTTTAAACAATATAACCCAAGCAAAGAAAGATAAATACCAACTGTCCTTACTCATATGTGGAAGCTAAAAAAAAGCTGATTTCATAGAAGTAGTGAGAACAATGGCTCTAGAGGCAGGGAAGGGTGGGGGATAGGTGGGATGGCCAAAGGTTGGCTAAAGGATACAAAAGTACAGGTAGATAGGAGGAAGAAGTTCTACTATTCTGCAGCACTAAAGGTGACTATCATCAACAATGATGTATTTTCAAATTGCTAGAACAATGAATTTTTAATTTTCCCAACACAAAGAAGAGATCATTGTTTGAGGTGATAAATATGCTAATTACACTGATTTGATCATTATACATCATATATGTATATTTAAATATCAAATTTTCCCCCTTAAATATGTGCAACACTTACGTGTCATTTAAAAATAATGATAAAATTATATCAAGATTCAAGCGCCTCTTGTAGCGCTTCCCACAGTCCTCACATTTGGATGGATTTTCTCCACTGTGGTCTCTTGGTTGGTCTTTACGGTATGACCGGTGTACAAGCTTCTTTCCACAGTCCTCACATTTGAATGGTTTTTTCCGGCAGTGGAGTCTCTTATGATTCAAAATACTTGAGGCCTGTCTAAAGCTCTTCCCACAGTCATCACAGTTATAAGGTCTCTCTCCTGTGTGGGCTCTATGGTGCAAGTCAAGACCTGACTTAGTAATGTAGCTCTTCCCACACTTGTCACATTTGTATGGCTTTTCTCCAGTGTGGACTCGCTGATGGATCAAAAGATATGAGGACCGTCTGAAGCTCTTCCCACATTCTTTACAATTATATGGTTTCTCTCCTGTGTGGATCGTCTGATGCTTACACAAATCCAGCCTACCGATGAAGCCTTTTCCATATTCCCCAGTGTTGTTTGGTTTCTTTCCTGTGTGGACCACACAATGCCTATTAAGACTTGACCTAAGACGGAAGCTCATACTACATATCTCACATTTGAATGGCTTCTCCCCTGTGTGAATTCTCTGATGTTTCTGAAGCTGGAAATCATGAATGAAAGCCCTCCCACATGCCTCACAATTATAATGTTTCTCTCCCATGTGTAATTTGCAATGAACTGTAAGTGCTGATCTACATCTGAAGCCTCTCCCACATTGTTCACATTTGAAAGGTTTCTCTCCAGTGTGGACTCTCTGATGAGTTTGCAGATGTAAACTCTGACTGAATTCCTTACCACACACGTCACACTTAAAGAGTTTCTCTCCCAGGTGGACTCTCTGATGAATATGAAGTGCTGAGATGTAACAGAAGCTTTTTCCACACTCATCACGGGAATGAGACTTCTCTGCTGAGTGTATTTGCTGAGGAAGATCAAAGATGGAAACGTCACTGAAGGATTGTTTACACTTCCCACAATTGGAAGGTTTCTGTCCTGTATGCATTATAGATAGTCCTTCCTCAACCTGGGAGTGGGCATCACCCTGTTCAAAGAACTGAGAGCTATTTATGGTAGAGTCTTGAGGCCTGGTTAAATCACTTGCAATTTCTTCCCAGATCTGCTGGCAGGACAACCCTTCATGTGGTCCTGCTTCTGGAACAGTCTTCATCTCAGGTTGGATCTTGCCTCCTATCAGAATACAAAATTAAGAGATCAGGACAAGCTATGCCCTGTTCAGTGTTTTTAAGAGTTCACACTTAGGACATGGTATGAAACTTCAATGAACATTCAGTTTTTGTTTTCCAAGTGCACCCTGGTTTCTGGTTTGCATGAGAGCAATCTAAAACCATACCATGTTGCCGGGCACGGTGGCTCACACCCATAATCCCAGCACTTTGGGAGGCTGAGGCCTGCGAATCACTTGAGGTCAGGAGTTCAGGACCAGCCTGACCAATAGTGAAACCCTGTCTCTACTAAAAATATAAAAATCAGCCAGGTGTAGTGGAACACACCTATAATCCCAGATACTTGGGAGACTGAGGCAAGAGAATTGCTTGAACCCAGGAGGCACAGGTTGCAGTGAGCCAAGATTGTGCCACTACACTCCAGCCTGGGTGACAGAGTGAGACTCTGTCTCAAAACAAGAAGGAAAGGAAAGGAAAAGAAAAGGAAAAGGAAAAGGAAAAGGAGAAAGAAAGAACCATACCACATCTCAAATATACAATCCTTGATAGAAATAAAAAATTAATATAACACATACATTTAACCTGTTACTATTAAAATTTCCAACTCAGTCTGAAATCTTACATGATAAATTACTAAACTATTATGTACATAATGAAATATGAATCAAAAGGAACTCTAAGGGAAAGCAGTAACATAATAAATACTTTGTATATTTACCTGTATATTGTATTTCCTTATAAAGAAGTTAACCTTCCTTTCTGTACAAGGTGGCTTAAAAAACATTTTTAAAAATAAGAAAAGAAGTTAACCTAACTAAAAAGAGGTTGGGACTTTGTCCTCAGTATCTGAGAGATAATCTGTAGGATCTTGAAGGGGCATGCCTGAGGAAAGTGTCTCTGTTTGCTTGGGGGCAAATCTTGGGTAACTCTTGATAGTGAAATAATATAATTTAGGGTTGTGACTGGCCACAGCTTTGGGGGATGGAAAATGGCAGGTGGAATTCCCCATATCAGAAAAAATAACAATGTGATTTAATGTGGGGCTTTAGGTCACAGGGAACCAGTGGACCAAAAGACTAAATAACCACAAAGGAATCAACCAACCAATTATGGCTGTGTAATGGAGCCCCAATAATTACTCTGATCCCAGCACTCAGTTGACTTTCCCTGATTGGTAGTTCCCTGTGTCTAAGTCACATGCTAATTTTGGGTATGTAACATGCCCCACTCTACTGTGAGAATACAATAGGAGATCCACATTTGGTGCTTCACTGGACTCTGTCTTATTTGGTTTTCCCCACTGGCTAACTATAATATGCATCTTTTCCCTGTAAATGTCAGTAACTGTGAGAATAAATGCATCCAGTGAGTTCTGAGAGTCTTTCTAGGAAATTATTGAAAGTGAAAGTAGTTTTGAAAAACTCCTGAATTTGCACTTGGAGTGAAGTGAGAGCAGTTCTCTGTAAAATGTCCCATTAAAATTTTTAGTTTAACCCTTCACGATACTAAACATCAAACACCTTAGAGTCTTTATATCTACAAATCGAAAGTATTCCTATGCAAGAATTTTGCATGACACATATAAAATACTTAATCTCACTTTTCTGTTTTTTTTTTTTTTTTTTTTTTTTTTTTTTTTTTTTTTTTTTTTTTTTTTTGAGACGGAGTCTCGCTCTGTCGCCAGGCTGGAGTGCAGTGGCCGGATCTCAGCTCACTGCAAGCTCCGCCTCCCGGGTTTACGCCATTCTCCTGCCTCAGCCTCCCGAGTAGCTGGGACTACAGGCGCCTGCCACCTCGCCCGGCTAGTTTTTTGTATTTTTTAGTAGAGACGGGGTTTCACCGTGTTAGCCAGGATGGTCTCGATCTCCTGACCTCGTGATCCGCCTGTCTCTGCCTCCCAAAGTGCTGGGATTACAGGCTTGAGCCACCGCGCCCGGCTCTCACTTTTCTGTTTTTATATGGACAGTAACTTGGTTATCTGAAACAGACAACTGCAGTTCTGAGGGGAATCTGAAAGGCTGTCCTTCCAGGGGTCCACAAAGGAGGATGCTCTTGATCAGACAATCAGTGATGTGAAGAATCACTTGGAATGAAAAGAAAGCCTATAATGTAGATAAACAGGCCTTTATAACTGTTTTTATATTCAAGACTACATATCAGTGAGCTGAAATAAAGTTAAAACCTGCAGTAGACATTTATAGAAAGGAACCAGAATGAAAATTATCACAGCGTGGAGACAAGCAGGAAAGGTATCGTTAATGAAATGTCAGCTAGTCACTCACATACATCTACCTGCATGAAAAATGTCCAGGTTATACCGAAAGAGGTGTTTCTTACTATGGTTCATGCTCACAAAATGCTCAAACCTTTGTCAGGGTATTACCAAGTCCTGAATCAGGTAAATTTTTCTGATGGAGAGTTAAGTTCCAAAGGTTGAATCCTGGAAAATATTAACAGGTAAGTGGATACCTATCGGTGTACAGTGGTGACAGAGAAGGGCTGGGCTCCTGGCCAAACTCCACCCTTAAGCCTAGAACCTCGGCCCTAAGTGGAAACAGATGACCCCATTTTTCTGCCCAAATGTTGCTTTTTTGGCCTGCTTGCCACTATCCTGTGCCCATAAAAGATTTCAGCTGGCAGAGCAACACAAGCAGCTGAGTGGCAAGGATACAAGTTGCTGAGCAGTAAGCAGAGAAGCAACTGAGTGTTGGAAACTATAGATAGATCTGGCTAACTTCAGTTAAGGTGTGGCTTTGGAGAGCGGTCTAGCCACAAATGGCCTGGCTTCAGAAACGAATCACCTTCCCATCCCCTTTCCAGTCTCCTTTTCTGCTGAGAGCCACCTACTGCTCAATAAAGTCTTCTTTATTCATTACCTTTCACACAGTTCATGTGACCCGGTTCTTCCTGGATGCTGGACAAGAACCCAACTGCCAAGAGGGCAGGGGCAGCTACTCTGAAGCTCCACTGAGCTGGCTGGCACTTGGCCATCCCCAGATGGCAGAGCTGAAACAGCACGGGTTGTAACATGCTTGGACATTGCTGTGGGGCATGCACAGAGCCTGCTCCCACCAGAGAGGAGCGACAGCCAATTCCAGCATTCATTTGCTCCAGTTCCAGCACTTGCTCGCTTGCATGCTCTCTCCTGCAAGGAGTGGACAGCGGAGGGCTGAGTGAAACAAACCCTGCAGTTTCCGCCCGCAAAGATGGTCAAGGGAACAATCCTCTCATCAGTACAGGGATATATTTAATACACTGTGACTTATAAATAAGAGGTCTTTAAGGAGAAGGGAAGGTCTCTCAGGATGTTTCTATTTTGAGAAAGTAATTCCCCAATTCCTTCCAGGTCATACCGCTTACCAGTTCAAAATATAGCACTAAATCTATAAAAATAAACAAAAAGCCTGTAAAATCTGTGTCCTTTTAACTTTTTGACAATTAAATTTGCATAATGTAAAGATGAGGAAATATACACATTTTTGAAGAAAGATGACCAGAAACAGAGTCAACATTCAGCTACATAACTTGCGTCTTCTCATCCTCATTCTTCCCCCTTTAAGGGAAGGAAGGAGGAACCTGGGGGCAGTGAAGTGCAGACTGACTTTGGAAAAGGCAAATGGGCTGCAAATGGGTAAAGCTTTCAAAGGAAATGTAGCTGGAAATCCTCATTCAAAAAGACTTTCTTCCCAGATATAAATGTGCTCCCTATGGAAAGCTCCAGGGTAGGTCCCAGGGAAGGCATATTACTCAGCGTGGTAATGAAAAAAAGTGCTATGCTTAGAAGTTTCCACAGGACATGGGTCAACTGCACACACATAAAACCAATCATGTCAAGGAAACCTAAGAAAGTTGAAAATGGATAAGCAGTCATCCACAGGGGAAAAAAAAAAAAAAGGTTCTGCAATATATAATCAGCCCTCCATATCCATGGATTTGGCACCCATGGATTCAACCAACAGTGCTTAAAAATTATTTAGGGAAAAAAATTTCAGTTCCAAAGAGCAAAACTGGAATTTCTCACAAACTGAGTCCTATGTTGAATCCTTCTGAATGAAGTGACAGGTAGGCACTGCATTTGGTATTATAACTGGTCTAGACATGATTTAAAGTATATGGGAGGATGTACATAGGTTATAGGCAAATACTCCACATATATCAGGAACTTGAACATCTCTGGCTTTCGGTATCCATGTGGGGTCCTGAAATCAAATCCCTATGGCTTCCAAGGGACTAATATATTTCATTCACTCTGGTTCATGTATTACTTATTAGCTAGCTCCATGATTCCTATAGACAGTAAAGTCCCCCCCATCCATTAATTCATTCATCAAGATACCAAATATTTATAGATCCCTCCATGTACTGGAACTATTCTAGGTACTGAAAATGCAGTCATAAACAAACAGATAAACACCTTGTGGAGATTATATTTGAAAGGGATTAGGTGATCTACCAGTAAACAAAAGCATATGACACACAATACTTGCAGGCCAAGTAAAGATAGGATGGTATTTTCAATAGGGTTCTTGAAGATGACCTCTCCCATGATAGTAAAACTCAGCAGAGACCTGCATAAACTAAGGGAGGGGGTCAGTAAGTTTTGTGGGGACAGAGGATTCCAGTCAGAGAGAAAAGCAAGTGAGGGCTCTGTGGCAGAAGCTTCTATAGTAGGGAACATAATTGTTCCTGAAAGATGTCTACATCCAACCTTCAGGACCTATGAATCTGACACATTACACAGCAAGGCAGATTAAGGCTGCAGATGTCATTGAGGTCACTAATCAGCTAAGCAGAAAGTAGGAAAGTCAACTTGGATCATGCAGGAGTGATGAATACAATCACAAGGGACCTGAAAGGTGGAAGACATAGGCATAAGAAGAGTGGCAGAGGGAGCGTGACTCTGGAAGAATGGTCAAGGATGCAATGTAGCTGCCTTCAAAGATGGAGGAATGGAAACTAGAGCCAAGGAGCGTGGACAGTGTCTAGGGACTGGTAAAACAAACGAAGGCTTCTCTCCGTGAACATCCAGAAAGGAACAAAGCCCTAAGACAGCTTGATTTTTGTCCAGTGAGATGTGTTACACTTCGGGCCTAAAGAAAAGAGAAATAATAAATGCTTCTTATTTAATCATCTAAGTTCGTGGTCATTGGGTACCAGCAACAGGTGATACAGTGTACTTGGCAGGATGGAGAAACAAGAGGGATGACAAGGTGGCCAGAAAAGATAGAGAAAGAGGGAGAGCATGGGAGATGTAGTTAAGAGGCAGTGAAGAATGAAGAGTAGACCACAGGGGTTTCTAGAAGCCACTTAAAGAGGCTTTCATAAAAATAAGAAGCCAGAATGGCTCTTAAGCTGAGGAATGACAATCTGACATCCCTGTCCTAAGGATCACTTTAGCCGCCATGAGGAGAACAGATGTCAGGGTGGGAAGGCACGGAGCAGGGCCACCAGCTGGAAGGAGGTTATAATAATCCAGGAAAGATGTTTGGCCATTTAGGACAAGGTAATGCAGTTGAACATGCACAGAAGTAAAACAGATGGAAGTCACAAACAAGGACACACAGTTGCTTGCTTCTTACCTGAATTCCCTTCTCTTTGGGTTGCTATATCCATCATCCAAAACTTTTCCTCCTTTAGAAAGTGGAAAGTATCTCGGTGGAATGGTTGATGCCCTGTAAACAGGCAAAGTCACATGCTTAATCCCAACATATTCTAGATAATATCAGGGTAACACTTACTGGAAATTTAGGTTCCCACTGCACACTTAAACTTGAACACCCTAGGATACAAAACCACTCCCGGGACCTGACATTCCCTTATAGAAGATGCCTGTCCTCACCCACTGACAGCAGGTTCCTGAAGTTCTCCAGCATCACATCTCGATACAGCTTCCTCTGGGCAAGGTCCAGCAGCCCCAGCTCCTCCTCAGTGAAGACCACCACCACATCCTTGAAGGTCACTGCCTCCTACAGCATCAAACATATGCAACCTCAATCTCACAACCAATGGTTACTGGGAGAGAAGCAACATTGAGGAGGTCAACGGAAAAAATGGAAAGCTTTTCTGGATCTTCAGAGATGTAGGTCAACTTATAGAATTCCCATTCATTCTAGTCTGTGTCCTGACAATGACACACCTTGATTGTCCCAAGCATCATCACAAGTCCAACGATGGAGAAGTGCTGTGGTCTTATTTAGTGAACTCATTGAGTTTACCGGTATGTAGCCCCCCTAGGAGTCTAAATGCTGCATCCTGGGCTATAGGTATATAGGTTTCAATGAACCTTGCTAATAGTCCCAGCAACAGTGAGCAATTCAGTCAGTATCTGCCCAACCTGGCAGCCGGTTGATGAGGCTGTGGCTGTGAAACCCCAATCTCAGTATTCCCAATAATTATTTTTCCTTTTCCCCTTTATAGTGCACATCCTGTTGGTAGTTTGTGGTTCAGATCACCACAGTAACCGACAAAGGTCCTCCTGACTCTAATCTGGAGGTGATGCTTCCCTGAACATCCCCTGACTTCTACAGGATCCCACAGTGGTGAAGAATGAGACCACAGAACACTGTAGGGGGTATCAGGGTCCTTCTGATGGTACTGGGGACACCTGATCCTTCCATTTGGGTGGCTGGCACTATCAGGCATATCTTTTTGTACAGGACATGACTTCCTTCCTGACTGAACAACTCAGGCAGGAAAGTCTTGGCCAAAAAACCAGGGAAATGGATGTCTACAGTGGTAGTAGCCTCAGGACAGGGACAGACAGACTGGGTCGCTACACCACATCAGCCCGCCCCCTATCCAACAGCTATTAATCTGCTGTTTCCCCAAGGGTGTGGCAGCAGAGGCCTGGAAGCACAGCACATTCCTTAAGTTATCTCAAGCTGCAGTCACCTTATGTTACCTGGCTAAGTGTTCCATCTGCTACCCTGGATTTATTCTATCACCAACCACAGTGACCCTCTCATCCTGACCATGGTAAACCACACCAGCATCCCTCATGCCACAGTGCACACCAACAGCTCCATAACCCTGGCTTGTCAAGTCAGGACCTGGCACCTGCCACATGAGAGAGAGCTGGAGGGCCCAGTGGTAACTGGTGTAAGGCAACAGAATCACACAACCTCAACAAAGCTACAGTGGACTGTGCTTGCTCACACCATGTTCCTTTGACTACCTGGATGAGAAATGTTCCATATAATGAAAACCAGAACTGGATGAGTGGCATTCCTCTCTGTAAGGGCCGCATGAATGTCACACGCGGGGAACTGACCTTATGCAACTGTGCCAAAAATGAGCTCTGGCTGGCAAAAGATAATGTCCCCATTCCCACAAATGGGTCACAGAACAGCCAAACAAGGGAATGGGTGTTGTGTGCACCTGAGCCTTATGGCTTTCTCTGTGGATGGTTTGGAGGGTGACCCAGACACAGGGTGGCTATGTCATGCCTGGAAAGCTGGCAGACTGTTAGATCCTAAACACTGGGCATGCCGGGGGTGCCCCTAGATCTCACCCTGGGAGCGAGATGTACCACTGGGCAAGAAGGCTAAAGCTGTGCCCCAGGCTGACTGGGGACCTGCCTGGAGTTGTAGCTAGCTTCCAGATTTATGTTCTATACCTACAAGTCAATTCCCATGAAAACTGGTGAGACACCTGTCACAGACAATGGTCAATAGATACTGCTTCTTACACGGCCACTGCCTCGGGAGCCCAGCAACATCCCTTCACTCCCTCAGGAAGGTTCAAAAAACACAAGTACTCTGTGCTTTTAGCCCTACTGGGAGGAGTGGGTCTGCGACTGCCAACACCTCCGGTCTTCTCTGGATACATAACTACTGTAAAAACTCAATGAGAGGCAACCCAGAAGCAGGCCCACTGGCTTCAGACACTGGGGCCATCTGAATGATTCTTCTTTGGTATCTTCAGCAGCTTCTTATTTTGATAACTGGGACCCAGGCAGGATTGCTACTTCAGGAAGGTCTGGCCATGCTGCTTGTGGTCATGCTCCTCTGGGGTCCACGGAATGTATTCCAGCTATAATTCCATGAAGTTGGCAGAGATTGTGTCAGTCAAGGTATTACACTGATCTAACAAGATCAACCAACACCTCCAGGCCTAGGGAGGTCGATGGGCACATGAAATGGACCAGTTGGCTAAGGGGGATATCTAGGTCAGGGGATGGACTGCAGGACAGTTGTAGGCAAACATGTCCGAGGTCACATGGTTAGAAATGGGCAGACTCAGTTCTCTCCCCTTTCTTGCTTGCAGTTCTCAAGAATAACTGTAGATTATTCTAGGAATGCAGTATTATGGGGAGGAATTAACTGCTTTTGACAGTCTGGGCTTTGTTCCTCTCTCACCTGGAAGCAGGATGTCCTTCAAATTTTTCTCCATGAGTCATGGCACCCTGAAGTATATAAACAAGGGCAGGTTACCTTCTGGGGTGCCTCAGCTCTGGTGCAAGTGGGGCACATACAGTCAAGATTCCATCTGCTCAAGGTAGCTTTCTTGAGCCCTGCATGGCCGGCTCACAGTGGACCCCAGGCTTCTGGGCTCCCTTATTGCCAATCTGTAGTCATAAATCTGCTTCATGTAATCTGTTACATGTGAGTGTGTTCTGTCCCACAGGACTCACACGAGTTGGTAAACAGTGCACAGTGAACCTGCTCCATGGTACTTGGTGTGAGACAGCTATGTAGTGTGTCTTCTGCACTTGCAAGGCACAAACCACATATGCTTATTGCAGCATTTAGTGTCCTGATCAAAAGCCAGTATGCCTCAATACATGTCCTAAGAGCCTGCCCTTTTCTAACCATGTGACCTCGGACATGTTTGCCTACAAGCCTTGCTCCCTCTGCGAATAATAGTTCTTATATGACAGAGTTTCAAGAATTAAGAAAGGAAATATACAGTATTTTGAAAAGTCTATGACACAGACTAAGTGTTTAATGAACATTAGCTAGTATTACTTATTACTGTTTATTACCATTATCTATTTCAGGGTTCCACAGTATTCCAGGGAACAGATTATCTATTTTTAGCTACACTAAAGAATAAATATTTTTACATATTTTCCATTATCAATCCTGCAAAGATAATATAATAAGTAGTAAGATGTAAGAACATCTAACTCTCCTGTCTCATTTAAAATAATTTCATGTGCAAATTAAAATGTGAAAAATAACCACATTTAATATTATCATCATATAATTGCATACTTTCGTCTCACTTTTTTCCCTACCTCTCCAATCATTCAACAGAATACGAGTATCCTAATTCTCCTTATCATGGCCAAGGGTAGTTTATAAATATTCCCATGGTTTTGGTAATCTGATTAGGAAGAACAATTCATTGTATTATTCTCACTTATTATTATAAATGAATACCATCACTTTTGCCATCTCTATTTCTTCTTTTACAATTGCCTTTTAGTGTTCTTTGTTCCAATCTGTTTGAACTATTTTCTTTATCCTTTTAGAAGATTCTTATTCTGGATTTATTCTTCCTTAACTATCCAAGGGGTAAATATCTTTGCCCCAGGTTGTCATTTTTTTCTGGTAACAATGCGTGAGGCAGGCTGGGCGCAGTGGCTCACGCCTGTAATCCCAACACTTTGGGAGGCCGAGGCGGATGGATCACGAGGTCAGGAGATCAAGACCATCTTGGCTAACACAGTGAAACCCTGTCTCTACTAAAAATACAAAAAAAATTTAGCTGGGCGTGGTGGTAGGCGCCTGTCATCCCAGCTACTCGGGAGGCTGAGGCAGAAGAATACTGCGAACCCGGGAGGCAGAGCTTGCAGTGAGCTGAGATCACGCCACTAAACTCCAGCCTGGGCAACAGAGTGAGACTCTGTCTCAAAAACAAAACAAAACAAAACAAAAAAACAATGTGTGAGGCATCTTGTGCCGTAAGAAGGAGTTTAGAGATTTTTAAGAACACCTGTGGTAATCACTGTCCTTGGGTACTTGGAACAATGAATACACCTACTCAGATGCCAGGAAAAGAAGAGGTCACACCAACGCAGGACAAAGAGAAGCAGCGCCACCTGTGGATGTCATCACTCAAGGGAGCACTCCAGACACTCACACAACGGGCACCACACCCTCAATGGAGAATTTTTCTTTGTTCTCGTCTCTCTCTTTCACTTGAGCAGAATGGCTAAGATTCCTGATCCTTGATTGCCTCTGATTTTTTGCAGGTTTCTCATATTTCTTGAGTTTAGGAGAAGAGAACAGGAACCTCCTCATTCTGCTGCTCTGAGAAGTAAATGAGTGACAGTACACAAGTGACTGGCCAATCTTCAGTATTACTAGACTTTTTTTTTTTTTTTGAGATAGAGTTTCACCCTTGTTGCCCAGGCTGGAGTGCAATGGCCCAATCTCAGCTCACCACAACCTCTGCCTCCTGGTTTGAAGTGATTCTCCTGCTTCAGCCTACCGAGTAGCTGGGATTATAGGCATGCACCACCATGCCCAGCTAATTTTGTATTTTTAGTAGACTCGGGGTTTCTTCAAGTTGGTCAGACTGGTCTCGAACTCCCGACCTCAGGTGATCTGCCTGCCTCAGCCTCCCAAAGTGCTGGGATTATAGGTGTGAGCCACCGCACCCAGCCCAGTATTACTAGACATTTTAAATGAAGGCTTTCTGGCTGGGTGCGGTGGCTCATGCCTGTAATCCCAGCACTTTCAGAGGCCGAGGCGGGCAGATCACTTGAGGTCAGAAGTTCGAGACCAGCCTGACCAACATGATAAAACCCCATCTCTACTAATAATACAAAAATTAGCCAGGCGACAAGAGATCCTCAAAGTCCTGTTGTTCTCCTTGAGTCTTCCCAGGACAGAGAAAAACACAGAACAATCTGAGTAGTAAGATGGAATTTTAACAGTAAGAGAGGAAAGCCCTACTCACCTTGGACGTGGTCATTTTTCCTCCTACTTTAGGGAATTTGCAGAGTCCTGAATGATGCAGTTCAAGGGAAAGCAGAATTGTGCCTGGAAAGTGCCATGAAGACAGAAAAAGAGACATGAAAGGGTGGTCAGGGATGTCACCCACCAACAAGGACTCATATTTTCAATTAGCACATGAATGCTCACAGCAGCATTATTCATACTAACCCCAAATTGCACACAACCAAGAAGCTCTCCTATGGGTAAATGGATAGAAAAATTGTGGCATATTCACACAATGGAATCTTATTCGGAAATGTAAAGGAATGAAACAATGAGCAATGCAACAACACTCGTGAACCTTGAAAACATTACAGTAAATGAAAGAAGCAAGTCACAAAAACCCACAGACCCTACAATTCCATTTACATGAAATGTCTGGAATACACAAATATATATAGAAAGTAGGTTAGTAGTTGTTCTAAAGTTGAGGTGAGAATGAGGTTTAAAGTAAATGGGCATGAGTTCAACTGGGGGATGAAAGTGATCTCGGCTGAATTATGATGATGATTACTCCACATCAAAGTTCCTAAAGATCACTGACTTGTACACCTGAAATGGGTGAATGCTACAACTAAAATAAACCTAGAGTTAAATAACTGTTAATGCACATATTGTTAGAATCAATAAGACTGGATTCTGAGTCCATATTGATAGAATATTTATGGTTGAACACATCAATGAACCAATAGAGGAGAAATGGAAGCTCTTCTTTACAAGAAAATGCCCACTAATAATGTGTTTTCCCATAAGAAGCTTCATAATTTAAAAAAAAGTAACATAAGAGTGGACAAATCTGAAAGACATCTTCTTGGCCAGTGACAAAGCTGAGATCACCAATGAAGGGACAAATGAACATCACTTGGACCTTGTTATGTTACAATGAAAAGGGCATCTTAATTCACCATTGTACTCTAGCCGGGGTGACAAGAGCGAAATTCTGTCTCAAAGAAAAGAAAAAGATAAAAAAAGAAAAAAAAGAAAAGAAAAGGGCATCTCAGCACTCCTGTGGAATCCCCACCAACAATGTATAATCTGAACCTAAATGTGAAATATATCTGTGGGGGAAAGAAAGAGAGATCAGGCTGTTACTGTGTCTACGTAGAAAAAGGAAGACATAAGAAACTCCATTTTCATCTGTACTAAGAAAAATTCTTCTGCCTTGAGATGCTACTAATCTGCAACCCTAACCCCAACCCTGTGCTCGCAGAAACATGAGCTGTATTGACTCAAGGTTTAATGGATTTAGGGTTCTGCAGGGTGTGCTTTGGTAAAAATGTGTTTGCAGGCAGTATGCTCGGTAAAAGTCATTGCCATTCTCCAGTCTGGAGTAACCGGGGACACAATACACTGCGGAAGGCCACAGGGACCTCTGTGCAAGAAAGCCTGGGCATTGTCCAAGGTTTCTCCCCACTGAGACAGCCTGAGATATGGCCTCATGGGAAGGGAAAGACCTGACTGTCCCCCAGCCCGACGCCCATAAAGAGTCTGTGCTGAGGAGGATTGGTGAAAGAGGAAGGCCTCTTTGCAGTTGAGATAAGAGGAAGGCATCTGTCTCCTGCTCGTCCCTGGGAATGGAATGTCTTGGTGTAAAACCCAATCATACATTCTATTTACTGAGATAGGAGAAAACTGCTTTATGGCTGGAGGTGAGACATGCTGGCAGCAATACTGCTCTTTACTGCACTGAGATGTTTGTGTAAAGTCACACATAAATCAGGCACAGCACCTTTCCTTAAACTTACTTATGACACAGAGTCCTTTGCTCACGTTTTCCTGCTGACCCTCTCCCCACCATTACCCTGCCACATGCCCCTCGCCAAAATCATAGAGATTGTGATCAATAAATACTGAGGAAACTCAGAGACCAGTGCCGGTGCAGGTCCTCCCTTGCTGAGCGCCAGTCCCTTGGGCCCACTTTTCTTCCTCTATACTTTGTCTCTGTGTCTGATTTCTTTTCTCAGTCTCTCGTCTCCACGTTGTGATAAATACCCACAGGTGTGGAGAGGCACGCCCCCTTCAATATCAAACTCCAAATGAACAACTATGGAAATGTGACAGCTAAAGACAACGCATAAACTGGACTTTGAATAGGTGAAGGGTGGGGCAGAGGACAGTCATAAGAACTTTAAATGAAAAATTTAACAAATTCATATATGCAACTGCAGATTAGATAACATGATGCTAGGCAATATGCTATCCAACACTATCTAGTAAGTACACTACAAATACTAGTATTCTTTTAACACATCTATCTGATATGTAATTGGTAACAGTATTATTTAATATAATATCCAATATTATCTACCATGTTATGTGAAACCCTATAATCAGCCCTTCCTAAATGCCTCTTACCAAGACACCCCACAATTACCATGGTATGTGGGCTTCCTTGCTGCAGAAAACTACCAATCAGCAGTCTCTGGTTACAGGTATTTTCCTGGTGGTATCAAAGCAAACAGAAAAAATGTAAACATTTGGCAAATTTGGGTAAAGAGTATATGAGAATTTCTCATATTGTTTTGCAATTTTTCTATAGCTTTGAAATGATAATCAAACGTTTTAAAATATCAGGAAACAAGAGACCACCAGTCACCAAGTGATGGGGACAACTTTAAGGCTTTCATTTGTATTATCTCTTTCAATTCGCAGAACAATGTTAGGATGATCCTATAAGCACTATTTTAAAGAACAGCCATGGGAAGTACAGAGACATTAAGTAACATTCCACATCACACTGCGAGAAAGAGGCCGCATACGTAGGGAGGCGGACTGAGCGAGGTCAAAGTCCTGGAAACCCTCAGAGCAGGGCACACAGGGCCCCCCAATCCCACCCCCGGGGACGCCGGCACAGCCCCCGACGCCAGAAGGCTCCACTGACGGGAACAATAAACACGCCGCCCGCGCACCTCTAAACCTCTGCTCTTCGCCAAGGCTTCTTTTCCCCTGAGACGATCATCGATCATCGGGTGGTTGCGAGCCTCAGGCAAAAGGGGCTCGTTCAAAATGTCCTGCAAGACGCGGGTCATTAAAGCAGGAATCTCAGGCTCGGAGACCGGAAGTGTCCTCTGCGCCAGAGTGTCTGGACTCCACTTCCCAAAATGCCCGGTGTTCCATCAGCCAGTGGACTGCACTTCCCATAAAATGGACTACAATTCCCAGAAGTCCCCGGAAATGCCTACCTGAGCTAAAGTACCGGGAATCCCGCCAGGTGTCTAGATTTCAGGGCCTCGGATGCAAAAGGAAAATGTCCATCATCTCACCCTTTAGGGGCAAGTGTTTCGACTACATGGTGCTCCTCGATTACACTTCCCGCAACACCCAGGGGGAATGAGTTTCATAGCCCCAGGCGCCTGGTGGGGAATGTAGACTGTTACCCTGACAGTTGTCCTTCCCAGAGTTCTCGAGCGAAAATACTGAATAAACAAGAATTTGTGAAGTCTAAATGTCTCCCATGATTGACAGGAGTGTTCTTGGACAGGGAACAAGAGAGGAGATACAATATTCAAGGAGCTAGTGGGAGTGACTGTTGAGCAGTCAGATGGCTGAAAGGAAGCTCAGGGTTTAAAGCAAGGATATCCAACTCCAGGGCTACAGACCTGTACCGTTCCACTGCCTGTTAGGAACCGGGCGGCACAGCAGGAAGTGAGCGGCAGGTGAGGGAGCATTATGGCCTGAGCTCCACCTCCTGTGAGATCAGCCCAGCATTACATTCTCATAGAAGCGTGAAACCTATTGTGAACTGTGCGTGGGAAGAATGTAGGTTAGGCGCTCCTTATGAAAATCTAATGCCTGAGGTGGAACAGTTTCATCCCGAAACCATTCCTGGTGGAAAACTTGTCTTCCACAAAACCGGTCCATGGTGCTAAAATGGTTGGGGACCACTGGTTTAAAGAATGAGCCAGGGAAAATGGGTTGGGAGGGACAATGAGAAGCCAGGAAAGCATCAGCCCCTGTAACTGAAAAGTAGATTAGTGGCTTCCTGTTTGCAAAGTCCAGTTAACAAGAGGGAGATCTGGTATAAAGAAAGTTATTTAATCCAGAGCTAGTGTAGGGTAGGAAGCACAGGTGTTGTCTTTAAGTGTACTGCTTGGCTTTTAGAGCAGAAGGCAGGCACTTTTAAAAGGTGGGGGAGGAAGAGGGCAGGGGTCTGTGTGCTGACTTAGTGCCTTATCTATCAGGCAGTTGAGTTGACTTTTTCACGGGCAGAAACAATTTGTAACCAGAAGGGAGAGAGTAGCAGGCATGCTTTCAACTGTTGTCTCTTCAGGCAACCTCCTGGTGGGTGAGAGTTCAGAGGCCAGCATGCTTTAGTTTATAAATCGACTGTTAATTCCGGAGGAGAGTTCTGGCTTGGAGCACATAGTTAGATGAACTTGCCCTGTAGGAAGTGTCTAGTGAAGGGGAGGTAAAAGTCTATATTTGCATTTTTTTAAAGGGCTACGTAGGAAGTGGGAAACTAAGGAAATGAGGAAAGAGAAAGAAATAAATAAGCCATCTCTTAGAAAAAATGGTGGTTCTCAGTTACACCCCTAGTCCAGATGCTGTGGTACCACTGGTTTGGCAGGAAAAACAAAATTCCAGCCATCAATGGAGAAGCTGTGTCCTCATGGAAAAGCTATCTTCCCACCTTTAACATTCTCATGGTAGTAATGTTTCTACTTTAGATATAGAAACACTAAATTTCAGAGAAGTTAGTGAATTGCTAAGTATCTTAAAGCAAGTGTAACTGTTGAAGAGCTTGGCACTGGTATCAATCTGACACCCAATATCTATGGTTCAATGCCATAAAACTGGAGAAGATTCTGTAGGTGAGGGAGCATGATTTATTATTAAGAGTTTCCTGTTGGGCCTGGTGGCTCACTCCTGTAATCCCAGCACTTTGGGAGGCTGAGCCGGGTGGATCACCTGAGGTCAGGAGTTTGAGACCAGCCTGGCCAACATGGTGAAACCCCGTCTCTACTAAAAATACAAAAAACTTAGCCAGGCATGGTGGCAGGTGCCTGTAATCCTAGCTATTAGGGAGGCTGAGGCACGAGAATCGC